GGCGCTAGACCACTGGCGAACGATCTGATTAGTCTTTAACGTTTGAAAATTAAGAAATGACGCATAGATCTACTTAAGCATCCACCTAGCCCGGCAAAGCATCCGTCTAGACTGTCTAGACCTACCTAGGTCGCAACTATCACTTAAACAAAAAATTGATAATTTTCATTTTGCATTTTATATTTTCAATAAAATGTAAGAGACTTGTTGAATATTTGGATAAACACTCATTATGTATTTATTTCCCATGTTTTCTATATGTTCTAATACTTTATAATCTATATGTCATTTTATTTTACAATTTATGTATTCCAATACAGTTATGTGGTTTTTAATATAAATAGGCACTTATTTATATGATATATAATAAATTTCTTAAATCCGCCTAGCCGCTTAGGTGCTAGGCTCCACCACGTCGCCCAACTGGCACCTAGAGTCGTTTAGAACCTTGAGCCTATGAAAGGTTCTAGTCATTTTTTTTGGGTTTTTATTACGTATCTGAAATAAATATAACTCATAATTTTGGTCCCTTAATTTAAAAATCAATTAGTGTCTTCCCTTAAATTTACTACCACACATTAATGTGGTCCTTACCATTTGATTCTGCCAAATTTTCTGTTAATTTGATGATATAGCAAACATGGAGTCCACACAGTCAATTTTTGAAATTAAAAAAAAAAACAGAAAAAAAAAAAGGAAAAGGCAAAGTCTCCAGGCTCTGTTTGTTGCTCCTTTGCCTAGTTTGATTATTAGCACGTTTAGGTTATTAGCTTTGATTTTCCCAAATATAGCTAAAGGATGCTGTGCTGAATTGCATCTTATATCAATGAGATGAATTCGATATATGTTGCTGTTTCAATCTTTGTTTTAGATTTTTTAATTTGCATTGAGAGACTTGTGTTTTCTTTTGTGGTTTTATTTAATTTCTAAATTATTTTGTTACTTTCTAAAGATTTTTTAAATTTCAAAAAATTATTTTTTTCCATGTGATCCACATGGTGCCTAATCATTGGCTGTGCGGACTCAATTTTTGCCACATCATTAAATTAACAGAAAATTTGATATAATCAAATTGCAAGGACCACATTGATATGCGGTGCTAAATTTCAAGAACGAAATTGACTAATTTTCAAATTAAATAATCAAAATGATGAGTTATGTCAATTTCAAAGTAGATATATAAAACATTGCTCCTACGACCACATCCTTACATGGTGATCACGCTAATAGAGCAGTGTCATTTTGTCACACTTATGCGTTTATGTGAAATTGAATCACACATTTTATATAAATATCAACAGAAGTTAGATTTGCAGTAGGATGGACTTCATATTAGGCTTGGCAAATGAGTCGTGTTTGTGTCATTTTCGTGTTATATACCTGTTATCTTAATGGGTTGTGTTAAACATGTTATCTTAACAGGTGACCCATTAACGACCTCTTTCGTTAACAGATCATGTATATTTCGTGACGGATTAACGGATCATGCTAGAAATTGTCATGCTTAATGTCTATATCTGGCAAATAATATCTTATTGGATTCTTAACAAGTGATCCGATAAACGATCCGACTCATTAACGGGTTCTTAATGGGTTACTCGGTAACTACCCGACTCATTATTAGGTTGACCAAAAACTCCATATTTTCATATTATTTCTTGTCAGGTTAACGAATCGTGTAAGAAAGTGTACCAAATATGCTCCATATAATGGACGTTTAAGATAAACACTTATTATATAAGTTTTTGTTATAATTTTCTTATACAATAATGTTATATTATCTTAAATATCTTCGCAATAGGGTGCGGTACGAGAAATTTTTTATTGTGATAGGAACACAGATGATACATCACGTGCTTTTATATAAGTAGTGAAAAATTGTATTTTTTAAGTTATTAAAATTTTAATATACATATTTCACTATATGCACAAAGATATGTAATGTATCATCTTATATTTCGATCACATTAAAAAATTTCTCAATAGCCGTTTGTCAGTCTCCCAGTATAATCAAGAATTCTTGAATGACGAGGCCAACAAGTCTTCATACTACTTTATATAAGACAATGACATTGATCCGTACCCATTAAATGCCTTTAGTCCCACACTCACAAGAGACCAGTATACGAAATATTACAGCACGTGTTACTATACAAATTATGAGATATGTGTGCTAAAAAGTTAATAACTTAAAAAATAAAATTTTTCACCACTCTTATTTGAACACGTGATATACCACTTGTATTCCCGTCACAACTAAAAATTTCTCCTCACCCACCCTCAAAACCTCACCACTTTCATTTTTATTTTGAATAATAAGAAGACTAAATTTAAAGATAAAATTTACAAATTAAATAATATGTCATTAATAAGAATGAGATAAACGAATCATCAACTTTTATATCCTTTAGTTTTCAAAATTTTACCGGCTTAACATTACCCTTTTACTTTTATTACAAAAATCTTACATCTTTAAAACCATCCCAAAAGTTACAACAAAAATCCAATAACAAACCCCAGAATGTTGGTTTAATAAAGATTTAGATTCTCCATTCAAGTTCGAACTTTTACAAATGTATTTTTTTTAGTCAATAGCTCTGATTTGGGTTAATAAATACCAAAAAATATGTTTCCGCTATATAGATGCTAAAGTCTCATAATGAAATAAATCAATATGTTATCAATGTGAGGTGGAATACTTTCTGTATTAAAAATGAAAAATGTATGCATTTCTTCTGTAAAAGGATGAGCTCATTCTCCCACTTACTTATAACATATCTTCATCGTAAAAGTTTCAAAACTAAACCTTTCAATCTTCTAATCTTTATTTGAAGATCATCCATATAAAAAATCATTCGGATACCGTTTAGTCATCTAAATGTATGAAAAAAATCAACGATTCATTATAAATATGCTACTTGATATCAACACAGTTGATTTATTGATACATTTGGATGACTAAACGATATCTAATTTTAATGATTTTTATAAAGATGATTTTCAAATGAAGATTAAGAGATTGAATGGTTACAATTACGAAACTTCTACAATTAAAATATGTTATTTGCAAGTAGAGAAGTGAGTTCATTCCCCAAAATGAAGTGTTCGGTGTTCTAAGAAGCAACGTAGCCAGCCCATAGGCAATAGACCGTAAGTTGCCGCAGCTACAATCCCTAATCGGTCTGAAAATCGGAAAGCTTGTTAAGCGGCTCCTTGGGCGGAGTTAGGTACAGTAGGCGGAAATCTATGGAGAGCTATGGCGGAATCTGAATATTATTATTATTTTTTTTTAATGCAAACCGACTGCGCATTCGACGAAGAGGATGGCTTGTCTGTTTTTTTTCTTTACCGCCAGAGGATGGCTTATCTACATGTTGTCGTTTTGCCAAAGGTTGCATGTTTCGTTTTTTATTCAAACTTTTTGTTATCACTTTTCGTTTTCTTTTATTTTAATCAACAAGTGACCTTTCATTTTTATTAGGGGTGTGATATCCACACACCTCTTTTTACTTCTCTCACACCTTTTTAATTTTCGGCCGTCGGATCGGATGAATTAAACAAAATCAAATGACAGAAATTTATTATTGTCTATTTGTAAGACACCACTGTCTCTCACCAATAATTTCTATACTTTTTTTAGTAAACTGTCAATTTGCCCTCTGAACTATCACCTAACTTTCGATTTTCCCCCTAAACTTTTTAATTGGAAAATTAAGGACTTAAACTAATTTTTTTGGCTGATTTCCCCCTACTGTAAGTTTTTAATAGATTTCATCCAAATTAACGTTAACTCTTATCATGTGTAAACCATGTAACTCTCATTTGTAGACAAAAACATTACTTCACTACACATTCAGACACAAAAGCTATAGAATCACACATATTTGCATAGGTTTATATTATAGAAATCTAAGGTTTTCAATCATTTTAAAGAATGAAGCGACCGAACTACCCACACATGTTGTGCATATGCTTCCATTTAACAGAAATTTGGATGGAATGAATGAAAAATTAACAACAGGGGTAAATCGGCCAAAAAAATTAGTTTAAGTCCTTAATTTTCCAATTAAAAAGTTCAGGGGGGAAATCGAAAGTTGAGTGATAATTTAGGGGACAAATCGGCATTTTACTCTACTTTTTTAGTTTGTTTTGGCTATGTCTATACTATATATTAATAATAGCACACCCTTTATCAATTTTTTTTTTAACAAACACCTTTTATCAATTAAAAGCTAAAGAGAATATAAGTGTAAATAGTTACTTGTTTATATGATACTAATAAATTTACTTAAAATGTCTAATCTGCCAAGTTGCCTGAACGTTGGGTCCTACTTCGCCACTCGACTAACACTTATTATCTTTTAGAGCCATGCAATTATTATCCTTAAAAAAATCTCTGGATTCAAGGGAAAAGAGATTAGTTTGGCTCCTCAATGAACAAAGAGTTTCTCTTTAATTCACCCTGTGGCCGATTTATGGGATTTTATGTTCTTATGATCAGAACCGTTCATGTTATAAAACATTTTGTAAAGGCCATCTCTTAAAAAAAAATCAATAAACTATGAGATCGTTTAGTCATCAAACCGTATAAAAACATATGAAAGAATCTGATAAAAGAATTACAAAACCATCTACCCATTAGCTACACTAATTGACTAGACGACTGTATTTTCTATTTTTCTTTTTTTTGGTTGACAACGGGGCATAATGCCGAAATAAAATGAAGATTACATAAGAATATAGCGAGGCCACGAGACCCAAACTATATTTGCAACTAGCAACATATGACAAGAAGGAGGAGCTTGCTCAAAAAAGACTGAACTCAAATTACATGACAAACCCAAAAGAGCCAAATTATCAGCAACAAAATTCTTTTCACGATAGATATGACGAACTTCTATTGATCTTTTAATTTTTGCAAAGTTATTTATAATACAAATGATTTCAATAAACTAAAGGTAATTGATCACAAAGTATCTTTAAAAAAAAAAAAAAAAAACCTCTTCAATCTTTTTAAGGAGCCAACCTCGCTCAAGAGAAAATCCAAAATCCAATAACAAAAAGCAAAAGCTTCTTCCTTTGTTCCCCCTTGCCCTTCCCTCTCCTTTCCTTCCATCTTCTCAGGAAACAAACAGAAACCACTACAAGCAACAACATTAGCAAGAAAATAAAGAAATACATAAACCCAACAAGCACCATTACAATCTCGAAGTCCGACATACAACCCCTCTTTCTCTGTCTCAAGATTTCAGCTTCAGAAATTGACATCTGAAAGTGAAAAGTTAATCTTTTTGTGTTTTTTTTTTCTTGATTCCCAGATCCGACTACCCAAAAGAGCGCAACACCCAAGACGGCCGGAGAGTGATGTCGTCATCGTCGACAACAAGCGTTCACGTCATGGCCCTGGACGGCCTGGTCAACGTGAACTCACTCTTCACCATTGCCGTCTTCGTGGGGCTTTCTCTGGCGACTCCGGGACAGAGGAGCCTCGAGAACCGGACATCCTGCGACGCTGGGATCGACGTGGCGAAGAAGCTGCTGGTGTTCGAGGTTGTCTCGTTCAGCTTCTTCCTGTTCTCATCGCTTGTGGCGCAGGGACTGAAGCTGGCGATCAACCTGCTCAACAGCAAGAAAGGAGAGGACCCGTTACAGGCCCACATCAATAAGAAGGTGTTGAGATTCGGGATGTTGGGGTCGGCTTTCGGGTCGGTCATGGGTTGCGTGTTTCTGATGCTGTCGATGGTGAATGTGATCCAGATCAGGCTGGGGATGCTGTCGTGTGGCAGCAAATCCTCCGTCCATGCTGTGGCGGCGCTTGTTGTTTTGGTCACGACGGCTCTTTTGGTTTATATTTCTACTGCTGTTTATGCTTTTCTTCACTAGCTGCTGAATCAAATTTTATATTTGTCTCCGGATATTGGAATAAGAGTAAACTGTTGATTTGCCCCCTGAACTATCACCCAACTTTCAATTTCCCCCCTGAACTTTTTAATTGGAAAATTAAGGACTTAAACTAATTTTTTTTGGCCAATTTCCCCCCTACAGTTAGTTTTTCATAGATTTCATCCAAATTAACGTTAACTCTTATCATGTGCAAACCACGTAACTCTCATTTGTGGACAAAAGTGTCATTTCACTAGACTTTTAGATACAAAAGCTATAGAATCACACATATTTGCATAGGTTTATATTTTAGAAATATAAGGTTTTCAATTATTTTAAAGAATGAAGCGACCGAACTACCCACACATGTTGTGCATATGCTTCCATTTAACAAAAATTTGGATGGAATGAATGAAAAATTAACAGCAGGGGGTAAATCGGCCAAAAAAATTAGTTTAAGTCCTTAATTTTCCAATTAAAAAGTTCAGGGGGGAAATCGAAAGTTGGGTGATAGTTTAGGGGGCAAATCGGTAGTATACTCTTGGAATAATGGAATGTCTGTGACGGTATTTCTATGAATTGCACGGATTCTGTTGCTGAGAGGTCCTCCTTTGTTTGAGATTTTAGGTGACCCTGATTTGGTTGAGAGTGAAATCTTTAAAAATTGGCAACTTGGAATAGAATATGCTTCATTAGAGTACTTAGGTAATGTTGGTCGGACACTTGGAATGAGTAGGAATGGGCAAAATACCTATGGGTTTAGGTAACTGCGGTTACTTACCCATTTAAAGTTTATGATTACGGTTATGGATAACCATTTAGACGAACAAACGGTTATGGGTATAACCGTTTATCCGTGAAATTTAAATGGACGGTTATGGGTATTAGCCATTGTTATAATGGATATCCATCGGTTATAGGTATTACATGTGGTTATAATGAATATCCATTTATCCATTTAATTTAATACATGTAAAATTAAAAAAAAAAAAATTAAAAACCCTAAATTTTCAATCTCTCCACTAGCCTCAAAGTCTCAAACGCTCCGTCCTCGCTGAATCAACCACCATTGCATATTCTTTCAAAAAGTTCTCCTCCAGCTGCATTTTCCATCTCAATTGCTAAATCGTTTGGTGTTAACAGCACCTACGTAAATTAACACACACACACACAGAGTAGAATTAAAAGTTATTGATGAATAAAACAAGCATGAATATTTGACTTTAAACCAAGTGAAATTAAAAGTTAACGACAAAAGGTAGTCTGATTGTTCTCTATCAAAAATGTTTAGTTTCGAAATATTTTGGAGCTTTGAATCATCTAGTATTCAAGATAATGACTACTTTTTGTTTTTAGAAACTTTACTTTGTAATCATATGGATTATAATTAAAGACTTGATTGAGTGTAGTAGAAAAATATCGTTTTTAAACTATTATTTCAATTATTGGAATTGTATGAGGACTTAAATGATTAAAATAGGAAAATGCATGCTAAAATGTACCTATAATGATGTTTAATTGTTAGAAAACGAAAATTATAACAAAATTTTCTTTTGCAATTTTCAAGTTGTTAAAAAAAAAAACATGTAGATGAGTGAAAAAAGGGTAAATGGGTAAAAAAAAGAAGAAGATAAACGGGTTCAAAAACAAGTAAACGAGTAAATAATTATGGTTAAATGGGTAAACGGTTGTGATTAAATGGGTAAACGGTTATGTGTATGGGTATAATAATTTATGCAATTACTCAACGGGTAAACGGTTATGCGGGTATGAACATAAATGGTTATGGGTAAATAACCGCAGTTACCTGTCTGTCATAACCGTTGCCCATTCCTAGTAATGAGGGTTTATGGAAACTTACCTACATTGGAGATGACCTTATGGTGATCTCATAGCCAATCACACATGTGTTGTCATGTGGAGTAGGACACTCAGTCACATAATGTTTTAAGATATTGTTACGATAGCATCCCCCACTGATTCTGTCCAGTTGCTGCTAGTGTTGCTAGTGTTGAATGTTTGATTAGATTATGATTGATTTCGATCACATTACAAACTTGGCTGAGAAAACAAAGCCGTCATTTCATCCGAACTAGTCGCTAATGCAAAATATGGTTGAATTTTGGACGACACCATCATATGATGTTAGAGTACGGTTTTTGGTGTCAGTTGCTAATTGTTTTTGTTTGAACTAGGTTCTCACTGTCGGGACCTCGGGACATGGCATTATGTTTGGCTTGCTTATTCGTTGTATGCCGAATAGCATAACGGATGACATATAGGAACCTCGACCGTGTCTACGAGCAATATTGGCCGGTGCGCTGGTCGGTATTATAATCGGCACATGACAACCCCAAGAAGTAGTATGCCCGCCCCCTAACCTCCAACGGGTGCCGAGAAGAAGCTTGTTTAATGTGCCAAGGGTCCGAGCACCGGGGACGTTTGGGAGCTTGTTTAGCCGTAATAAATCTATATGAACTCGGATTTAGTTGCATTGGACTCGTTTCAACATCCCGATATGGTCTTGCGTTTGAGACCCTTGTTTTTCGTTTGTTGAACATTTCTACTCGAATCGGACTCGTGCTTGACTTTGGGACTGGAGTTTCCACAAACAACTAGAGAAGCGAAATTATTATCTCATTTCAATTTTTATTTTCAGGTCTCTCGATTTATAATAATAATAAATAACCATGAATCAACATTCATTGTCTCCTTCTGCACTCCTCCCTTTGTTTGTGTCCTTGATTTACTCTGAGTCGTATGGCTAGAAAAAGAGGGAGGAGCAAGATATGTGAGTGTCAAAAATCAATTCGCTAAATTAAAATGAAACTAAAGAAAAATAATAGAGTACGCAAAAGATTATGGAGTTAGAAGAACTTGCTACTTATACGTATGCTATTTGTACAACCAAAGGGTAAATCAACTGAAAAAAAAAACAAAAAACAAAGAACGAAAACTACAGGATAATTCAGTTTCTGCTCCACCGAAAACTAAGATTTATAGTTTTTCTTTTAACAAGACGATAATCTAAACTACTCTTATCTAATCTATGGGGAGGGGATTTGAACTCAAATGCAAGAGACAGACACACTGCCTTGACCAACTGACCAGACCCACATTTGCAAATTAGGTCTTGAATACAGGGAATAGCGTATGAAAGGAGCTGAAACAATCAAGTAGCCTTTTAACCGTTTCAAGGTGCTACCCTCTTTGATTCAATTTCTTTCACGCTCTGGACTATACCGTCAATGTTTCTCGACAAGTGATTGGAATGTTCTTCCATCTGCCTCAAAACCATATCAAGCTGTTCTTGATAGGTGGCAGACATCTTTCGCTCACGTTGCAACTCAGCCGTCAACTCCCGAATTTTCAGATATTTTTCGTCCTGGAACAAACCAAAAAGCAAATCAATAGCAATTATTGATTGTTATGGGAAATATTATGGTAGCATAATGCAAAGAACTCTTCCCCTGCCCTGCCCTCACAAACATACGTCGGGTATCTGCTAGGTGGCTTTAACAAGCCCTGGTCAAATATGTAAAACGTTACTGTAACCACTGTAAATTAGAGCACAAACCCTACATGTAAAACGTTTACTGTAACCACGATAAAGTTAAACGAGACACCTATTACATCTCACAAAACGGCCAGGGAAGCAATTACATATAGCACTCGAGGGGACTTGTCCAAATTCTAAGAACAGTTACTACCAAAAGAAACCATTAAAACGTCTTTATTTAATTATTTTATTACATCTTGAGTAAGTTTATAAAGCTAAGGACCCATTTGATAAACATTTTGGTTTTAGCTTTTAGTTCTTATTTTTTGTGCTAGAGACCGGGGGAAAGTATATTGGATGAAATAAGGAATGGAGAAGGATAAAGGGAGGCGGTGTGAGGGAGGAGGGAGAAATGTAGATCATATGAAAACAAAAACGTTAAAGTGAAATCAACTCAAAATTGTTTTTAGTTTTCATTTTTGTCATTCCTTTCCTTTCCTTTCCTCCACCCTCCTTCCTTCACCCTTCTTTATCTCTCCATCCCTTTCTCCCACAAGTACTTCTCCACCATATATATCACAAAAAATTAAAACTAAAAACGAAATGGTTATCAAACAGGTCCTGAGTTTTAGATTGAACGTCAAAACTGGTTTTAACAATTTGGAGGTGACAAAAAATGGGTTGCCTAGTACGCCTTTGAGAAATATATGAACTACATTCTTCAAACAAGGAAAACCAAAAGAACGATATCATCAGGGAACCTTTTCAAGCAAGGGGCATCTGCTAACTTCATCCAATTAACCAGAATCCCTACTAATATAATGCAGGGTTGCATTAGCAAAAGTAACTTTCCAGCTTGCAAAAGCTCCAAATCACTTGCAGGCAACAGAGACTAGACCATCTGATGCAATTTCAAATATACAACGGACAGAAACTAGATAATCGATTAACTTAACCAACACAAGGAAACAAAATAAACCGCTAACTTAACAGAAATCACAATGCATCTGTCTTACAAAATAAACCTATAAGCGAGCAACTCAAAGATGCAGATAAGAAGCACTCACTGGTGTTTGAGACAGAAGCATACTGCGGCGACCATTTGCAGGTGTACCTACTAGTGGACGGTTATGCTCCTTTATAAATCGTGTTACGATCCATTTTCCTGATTTGTCTTTCTTTACCACAAGCATCGCTTTGCACCCTTCTCTGGTGATTGCTCGAGGCTTCCTATTCTCAGTTCTTTTGGCTCGCGTCATGCGAAATCCCTCTTTGTTACACACAAGCCTCCGCCAAACTACCTTACCATCACGCATTGATCTCCGGAAGGCATCGACTCGCATAATGAAGCCCACCTGTGTTGCATATGCATCATAGAACACTTTCGCAGCCTCTTCATATTCAAACTCCATACCCACAAATGGTTCTGTATCCGAGTTCCCCTCATATGTGACTGCCTCTTTCCCATTGGAACTCTCTAACACGTCCTCATCCTTGCTCATAGAAGGTTCTTCATCATCCACTGCCCAAATAAGCATTGTGATAAGACTCCATCTAAGGTTCTACCTTCCAAAATTCAAGCAAAACAATAATTTTGCGAAGAAAAATGCGATTTTTTATACCAAACTAGTTTTCGATTACCTAATGAATTGTGCAAAGTCTCACATCATAGTGTAACCAAACAAAACCTTACTAAAATATTTTACCAATGTAATGATTCTGATCACACACGCAGAATAACACATCTATATCTCAACTATCCACTGGAAAACATAACCTGCGTTATGTTTGGCTGCCGAGAAAACACAAGAAAATACCAACAACAGACTGGAAAACTGAGAACAACCCAAGATTGGGGTTACTGAATTCTAAGTTACCCAACTCATAGTTGTCTACTTTTGCTCAGCATCCAAACAGATTAAGGAAATTCCAAAAACAACAAACAACACAATCGAAGGTTTAACGTGAGTGCAGATTAAGAAATTAAAGAGTGAAAATGCTAAGATAAAATGATTAACTCACTTGCTGTGACAGAGAGATCGCGACCCAACAGTTTGCTTGGCTTCTGCAATAGAGAGGAAGCAGAAAGTTCGCTCCTTTTTTGTTCTTCTGGTTTTGGGGAGGTGGCGGGCGGTTGAAGCGTTTGAGCTCGAACTCCAGGGTGTTGGCAGGTGAACGATCCACTGCGGCGAAGAAATGCATCACTGAAAGTCCTGAATAACTTGAAGGGAGATACTTCGCTCATTCCCTTGGATGCACAATTTCTACTTACCTGCTAATCACAGTTTGACACCAAGTACAAAAAAAATGTTCTTGTGTTTTTATAGTTGGGGTGGTAACTGATTTTTCCGTTGGGACGTCGATATTAGGAAAATAAGAGGTTATTTTTCCTTTATCTTGAATCCTTCTCTCGTTGGCCAGTATGAGAAATAACCTCAATGTGTGCACCACCACCACCAGTATCGTAACCGGTAACAAAAGTCTGGACTTTTTCGTTTTAAGGATCTGACAATGTTTCCAATTTCTAAGGACATAGAAAGGGATCCGGGGCCTTTATGATAGTAGAAAGGGGAGGGGGACGACCCGCTGAATTCACATTAGAAATTGACAACGTCAACACAAACGAAATCTTGAATTGTGTAATGAAACAAGATGAACCACTTCTATTCTCCAAGCTGAGGTATATGAAGAATGGCTTTTTGGTCCCTTTCATCCAGTGGTCAGGACATTGTCTTTTCGTGTAGAAGATACGGGTTCGATTCTCGTGACGGATAGGTATTCATTCCTGGCCGCTTTTGGTTAGTGTTCATTGTTGAGTGATCGCTCGCTATTTGGCTAGAAAAGGTGGTATGGAAGGCTTCTTCTCTCCAAAAATTAACTTGGCTCCTCAATTCGTATGTAACCGATTTACAAAACTTTATGTTTATGATCGGAGCTGTTCATATTATAAATCGCTCTCTGTAATAATCATCTCTGCAAAAAAAATCAATTAAATATGAAATTTGGTCATCCAAATGTACAAAACAGATGGAATGATTTGGTAAAAGAATCATGAACCATTTATCTATTTGTTACTATTGATTAATTAAACAACCTTAGTTCTAATTGAGTTTTTAGAGATGACCTTTACAAAGATTTATAATATAAACACGAAAATTTGTAAATCAACTGCTAAGTGAATTGAGGAGGAACTCCTCAGTCTTGAGGAGCCAAGCCTTGGCTTTATATCAATGATGAGAGAACTCATATGGTCCTGTAGTTCATTCAATTCCAATAGCCGATGTTGACGCCAACGCCTCGGTGAATGAAAGAGAACGGTTGTACCTCCAGCCACCGTAAATCTCGTGCTTGCATAACTGCATTGGTGTTCAATACATTTTAGCTACTGAATAACTTGAAGGAAAGTGCCCGGCTCCTTCATTTGGAATGTTAAAAACCTGCTAATCAGAGTTTAACACTATATGTGAACTTTTATTTTTGTGTATGGCTTCACTTTCAACAACGTTAATTAAGGCCCGCTCCTTGCAAATCTTATTGACCAAAAAAAAGGAATATGGCTTCTAATTTCCAGTCATTTTAATTTTGTGAGCAATGCTTTAGGTTTGTACACCTTTTCTTTTTGGAGTTTTTATCACAAACGATCTTTGAAATTAACTTAACTCAACATTTTGGTCTTTCAATTTGAAAATCAATCAATATCGTCCCTGAAATTTATTACCATACATCTATATGATCCTTGCCATTTGATTCTGTCAAATTTTATGTTAATTTGATGAAGTAGCAAACCCGGAGTCCACACAATTAATTTTTGAAATTAAAAAAACTAGGAAAAGCTTGCGGACTAGACCCGGTAGTTTTTGATACGACATGGCGACACAACACAAAAACGACACGAAAATAACGGGTTTCGAGTCAACAAGATAACTTATTGGGTCATTATCGGGTGACCCGTTAATAACGGGTATACACGCGAGTAACACGTGGGTAACCCGTTAAGAAAAAATTTATTTTGATAATTTTAAAGTTTAATTACTAAAAGATTTATTATAAAATACAATAGCCATATTAATATATACAATATATTCTATATTAAATATATAGTTTTGTATTATTCTATATAAGTTTAAAAAAAAAAAAGTTGTAGTCATTATTTATTTTTATTATGAGAGTCCCTTATTATCATTACTAGGATAAATTTTACTTAACATGTTGTTGTCCAAAATTAAAATAAACTAATATAGTATTTGTATATGCAAGAACTAAGAAGACATACATACAAGTATGAAAAATGTGAGAGAATATATAAACACTCGTGATTCATCATTATTCCTCCACGAGTAGATAATGGTTACACTTACATTATCGTTTAGATTTTTAAAATCCTCCAAACCTTCATGAATAATGTTTTTTATTTGAGGACAAAATTAATAAAATTAATAATAATTATTGTAGAAGTGTAAAAAATGTAAAAAAAAAAAAATACAATCACTCATAGTGACAAACTTTACAATTTTCATGAAGGGGTTAGCTTCGAAATTCAACACTATAATTCATAAACCTTAAATTTATATTTAACCGTCGATTACCATTTACGCTTTATTCTTCTTACTGAATTTCATTTTTAAAATTTTCTTTTTTGAAAACATGATCATCTGGCGGATGTAAGAAGATGAACAGTTCAGATCTTTGATATCACGTTTTGATATTTACGGTTAACTGAAATATGAGTCGATCTCATATAGTTTGTAGAAACTTTATAAACATCAAGCAATATTTTCACTAACCGTAAAATTATGAATATAATATCAACGATCCAAACCGTTAATCTTCCTGCATCATCTAATAGATCAAGTTTTCAAAAAACAAAATTTGAAAAAACAAAATTTGATGAGAACAATGAAGAGTAAATGTAAACAACAATCAATGGTTAAATTTTGATCTATGATTTATATAATTATAGTGGCGAATTTCGAAGTTAAGCTCTTCATAAAAGTTGTAAAGCTTGTCATTACGAGTATTTATATATTTTTTTACACTTCTACATTAATTAAATAACTATTAAAGACTTTATGTAAATGAAAATATACTTAAAAGAAAATTGCGTTTTTATGTTTTGGATGTGACAATATGATATGTATATACTTATTTAGTATTATGTTTTTCATTTGATTATTTATTGGTTTAAAATATATTTTCCTTAATAGGTAACGGGTCAGGTCATATTACCGGTTTATTTTAACGGGTGTTACACGACACAACCTATTAAGATATCAGGTATGACATGAAAACGACACGAACATGAAAAACACGATATGAATGCCAGGTCTACTGCAGACTCTGTTGGCTGCTTCCTTTGCCTAGTTTTATTATTAGCACGTTTAGGTTATTAGCTTTGATTTTCCCAAATATAATGCTGCACTGAATTGCTTCTTATCGGTGAGATGAATCTGATATATGTTGTTGTTTCAGTATTTGTTTTAGATTTTTTCATTTGCATCGAGACACTTGTGTTTTCTTTTTTAGGTTTATTTAATTTCTAAATATAAGAAAATTTAACAAGATCAAGAGGCAAGGACCACATTGATATACTGTGACCGGGGTCTTTGTGGTCCAAAATAATAAAATGATAAATAACAGTAAAGTAAGGATGAGACTTTTGGTAGTACCGGTGAACCAAATGGCTACAGCGATGGAATTTGGGATGGATATGTAGTATCTCTCTAGATCTAGCAAAGCAAAAGACCCCCTAACGTAATTCGCATGGGGGCTAATCGTTAAGTTCACCCTAGCCTCGCAGGGCGGGCCCCCGCAGTCTCAAGCCATAGCTTATGGGATATTACAATAACAACAAAGCCTTTTACCACTAAGTGGGGTCGGCTGTATGAATTCTAGAACGTCATTGCGCTCGGTTATGTGCCACGTCTTTCGTTATATCCAAGTACTCCAAGTTTTTTTTTTAGAGTCTCTTCCAAAGTCTTTCTAGATCTTCCTCTACCCCTTTGACCCTGAACATCTATCTCGTAATTACATCTTCTAACCGGAGCGTCTGTAGGTCTTTGTTTCCCATGCCCAAACCAAAGTAACCGATTTTCTCTCATCTTTCTCGTGTGCCCACACATACAATGAAGCATTCTCATCTCCACTACTCTCATTTTATATACGTGTTGATGCTTTACTGCCCAACATTCGGTGCTATAAAACATTGTTGGCCTTATTGATGTCCTATAAAATTTTCCCTTGAGCTTTAGGAAGGACATTGATTAATTTAAATTGAATGACCAAAATGATGAGTTAGAAGTTATTTAGTACTACAGTCTGGTAATATTTCTTGTCACTTGTAAATGAGAGGTCTTAAGTTCGATTCTCACTAAAGACGAGCTTAAACCACATTATTGCTAGACTGCTAGTTCATTATGAGGTTAAACCAACCCTCTTTTTCTTAGTGTAGATAATATTATTTGTTAAAAAATAATGAGATAGAATGGACTCCATATAATGGACGTTTAGGTCAAGTCATTTTATATAAATTTTATGTTTTAATTTTCTTAAATAATGACAAGTTATTTGATCTTATCTTAAATGTTTTCAATGGCGTATTGTGAATCACGTGGCCAAGACTATTAGTTGAACGTCTTAGGCTGATGTTAAGTTTCAACAACCCTAGGCTGATGTTAACTTTCAATGACCTTAATCAAGGTCTACTCTGTTAACCTTCAACAACCATAATAATTAAGGCTTTACTCCTTGGAAATCTTATTGACCAAAAATAACATGGCTTCTAATTTTCAGTCATTTTAATTTTGTGAGCAATGCTTTTGATGCATTAGATGTAATCAGAATATCAAAATAGCTTGTTCACTCTTCTAGGAGGCGTTAGACGGTTGACGATCGTCCTGATTAGTTCTTAAGCGTTTGAAAATTAAGAAATAACGCCTAGATCTGCTTCAACGTCCGCCTAGCCCGGCTAAGGGCTAGTTTGGTATTGCTGTGCTTTGAAAAAAAGCTGCTTCTGCTGTGCTGTGAGAATAAGTAGCTGTGAAATAAAACAGCAGAGTGTTTGGTAAACTTTTTGTAAAAGTGCTTTGGAAAAAAATAACAGTATTATAGTGTTTGGTAAACTTTTATGTAAAACAGATGTGAAAAAAGCCGGTTTTTCAAAGCTGGGTTTTGCAGCTTCTTGTTTTTGACTTTTTTTCACCAAAAATTGTGAAAAAAAACTGAAGCTAAATGTTTACCAAACATAAAAATAGCTCCCAGCGTTTTTTGATACCAGCTTTTTTTCAGAATCACCTCAGTACCAAACCAGGCCTAAGCACCCGCCTAGATTGTCTAGACCTACCTAGGTTGCAACTATCACTTAAACAAAAAATTGATAACTTTCTTTTTGTATTTTATATTTTCAATAAAATGTAAGAGACTTGTTGAATATTTGGATGAACATCCATTATATATTTATTTCTCATATTTTCTATATGTTCTAATACTATGTAATCTATATGTCATTTTATTTTGCAATTTATGTATCCCAATACATTTATGTGTTTTTTAGTATAAATATGCATTTATTTATATGATATATAATAAATTTCCTAAATCCCCCTAGCCACTTAGGCGCTAGGCTCCAACACGTCGTCCAAC